CCTGCCTCTACTTTGGATTACCCTGTTCAATAAATACTGCATTTGGATCCACAACATTTGTATCCACAACCACAATCCACAAAGCGGTCCCTGTTGTGCTCTATCATATTGCCGGGAGTTGCAATGAGCCCCAGTTTAAGAAATCCTGGTCTATAGGATAATAGGAAGATTTTTAATGTGCGTTTTGTTTATATTGGCATGTTAAACAGCTGTCCACAGATTTATCATTAACTCGATTGCAAAGTACAAGGACAGTTATACATAATCCATACATATAATTCAAATGTATAAGACTTAGTAGGTTATTGTGTTTGTTCATAGTCTAATCATCCACTCACAATGTTCTCTGAATGTTTGACTCCTTGGCAGAAATAGCATATTAATTAGCAATTTGAACTTTTAAAAAAAAAAGTCTTTTGTCTGGCTCCAGTCAGAGAGGGCGATATTCCTAAGCCCACTCTCATAAATCTTTGGCAAAGTCTTGGGAGTTCAAACACAACTGGGCCAGCAGCACTTGTTGTAATAGGCCTTATCTTACTGTAGGATTAGCGCTCAGCAGAGCAAAAAACGCCATTTTGCCACAGCCATTTGGGAGAGCATTAGGAAGTTCCACATAATGCTTTTTCTTTGTTACCGTTCAACAAATGAAAAAGGAAATCAAGCTATGCCACTCATGTTCAACATCCTTCACAAAGGGCTTCGGTGGGAGCAGGACTATTGTTAAGTGAAGTAAAAAGCAGAAAACTTTAGTTAGGGACAATAGGAAAGTGACACATAACTCACAGTTAGTTCATTGTGCTGTAGTCATGAACACTGGGCCTTTGGTAAGCCATGCTGTCACAAAAATGTGCAAAAAGCATTTGTTCTTCTATTCAGAAGTACTTTCCCTTAAATTGTTTGGTAAGCGCATGTGTAATATGCCTGTAATTCATTTTAAAAAGACACAAGTTTAAGCACATTGGAGGAATTGAATGTGGCAGAGGCATCAAAGGCCCTTTGATCCGTTTCAACAGAGGTTTTTTGGGTGGTGGGGGAGGGGGGGGGGTTTGGTACAAAATCATGAAAAGTAAGGGGAAGAGGTGAAGACTCTGAGTGATATGGCGCGTAACGGGGGCCCGGGGTAAATGTTTCAAGTGCTCAATGGGGCGCTCAATCGTGCAGGTGCACGTCTTTTGTCACAGTATAAAAGGCAAGCAGGGCACTCTTAGAGCATCCGGCGGCTCAGATCAATAGCTTCCCAGAAATGCATTAGTTTTGAGTCAAGGTTTAGCTGTCTGAGACACCGTGTCTTATTTTGTTTCATCTCTTGATGAGCGTCAGTCATGGACAGGTGCCATCTATGTGACTGCATGATCAACATCGCTCAGGGTGACACTGACAGGTGCAAAGAAGGCCTGCTGTTGGGATGTTCAAATTATTCTTTGTTATTTTAAAGCTGCACTACAGAACTTTGGCCTCTCTGGTTTTTAGCTGATTTCTACTGAATTGGCAAGACCATACTACTATCTGTTTTGTACTTAGAACATACTCACATCGACAATAATAACACAGAGTGTAAATAGAAAACCACACGATTAATCAAAGTTCATCACAAGAAGTTGCTTTTACACAAGCTGAGGTAAATAGTAATGTCCAGTCCGCGAACAAGTCATTCTTTTGAGTCGTTCTTTTGAACCAAATCGGACTGAACCGTTTGAAACAGTTTGCGGCTCGAGTCAGCACGGATCGACAAGTTACTCAATTAAACTCACTTTTGGACGTGCCTGACAGTCACTCCGACTCTAAATGAACTAATATCCAGGAGTATATGATCCTATGATGCAATATGAAGAAAATAAACAATATGAAGTGTCACACAGTCAATTCTGGGAATGTCACTTTATGGCTTTACACTCTAAATTCTAAGATTGTTTGTTCCTTTTGCTTCCAAAAATGGTACAATGTACGGTTTTCCCTGTGTGTGTATGTATATATAAGCATTCGATTATAATAAAAATATTTGATCTCTTGCTAATGTTAATATGTAGATTCATAAAGTACCATAGGTTCTTACACAAATATAATATAACACATAGGTTTTTTTTTTAGATTGAAATTAAGTTTAATAAAAAATAATCATTTTTTTTTTTATGAAGTCTGGACTTGGCATATTAAAGATGAATAAAAGAAAAATGTTGCTATTACTGCATGGCTTAAACTGCAATTTATGCAATATGATTATAATTTGGCAATTAAACTGCATTTAACTGCAATAACAAAAACTTTAACTTTCATGCTAAGCTAGTTCAAAAGTTTTGAAAAAAAAACTGCCTAATTATAAAAGGTAACCTGGTTCTGCCTCACCACTTACAGTAAATGGGAATTGCCACTTGTGTTTTCAGCTATGCAGTAGACTGAACCAAAACCTAAAATATCCACTGTCTACTCTAGATACTCACTTTCCATCAGCTTAGCTCCACAAGGAGGAGTCCTGCCCCCGGCCCAAACTTGATTCTGTTGCTGTCGAGTAGATAGATTATTATTTGTGTGGTGATAATGGATAGTGCTGATGGAGGAGAGCATGAAAACATTTAAAACAACTTAGAAACTTAGAAACAATTCTCCTGTGCTGAACAATCAAATTATGGTATGTAATCTTTATGAAAGCTGTGGGGTCAGTGTTACTGCATTCTAAAGTGTAAATGTATTCTGAAGATGAAGTATTTAGAGCATGACATATACACTACGGCTTTTATTATGAAATGTTTGAGACATTTTGTGTCTAAAGAGTTTTATAGCCCTCAATTCAAAAGACACACCTGAGTAAATTATGGATGTATTCTCACAAAGTCTTCAACATAGACTGTATATATAGCTTTCAAAACATTGCAACTCAAAATATAAGGCATTTCATCATCACAGCAGACAAACAATCCAAACATACACAGACCTTACACTTGTTACTTTGAAACGCAACTTTATCATTGCTATATTTCAAGAAAGAAGTCTATCAAATTCCAACAGATTATAAATCACTGTAATTTTTTTTATCACTTGCTGGATTAAGATTTTATGTGAATTTTCCAAGCCATTAGACAAAAAGATTATTCAAACTGCCCTGCAATACCAGGGGCATCGAGATGAACTTTCTTGATTCACAGTGGAGGCATTTTAATGATGTAGCTCTATAAATTTTTTATCTCCTACCTTTGTGTTTTAAAAGTGCTCTTGGCTATGCAAAAACCTTGACTACTTATGCATCAAAGGCCAATAACATTTATTTTTCTTTGTTGGGGATTGGTGATGCCCTCAGCTGTGTGGTTAAAGGGTTTTTCTCCCTGTGATAAGAGTTATGTTTTACTTGTTTGCTAAGCTTGTGTGAGGGATTATTGTTGTGTTTGAATCTGAATCTGAATCCATTTACTGTCACATCACTAACAACACATGTGCCGTAGCGAGTGGAATTCTTAAGAGCGTGCTCCAGACAGCGCAGAATACAATTAACATAAGACAATATACAATTACAATTAACATATATGAGCGATATGCAGATGGCAATGTACAATATGCAGTATAGCTTAATATAAATAGTCACAGAAAAACATACTTTACAATAAGTTAGAATTACCAAATACAGATATACACAGTGCAGTATGATGCGCATGATTGGTATCTCGGTGATATGGATTATTGTATTAATCAATTCAGTGCACTGTATGCTGTGTAGTGCTGCTGCAATAAGTGCAGTGTGTGCTGCTGTGAAGTCCAGTGTTGAAGGGAGGTATTGAGTAAAGTAAAGTGCATGTATGACAATGTATGCAGGGGATAAACGACGTGTGTAAGATGTATCAGTTCTGGCTGTTCATTAACCTGATAGCCTGTGGAAAGAAGCTGTCTCTCAGTCGGCTAGTACGGGATCGAATGCTGCGAAAACGTCTGCCTGATGGTAACAGAGAGAACAGTCTATGGGACGGGTGGCCACAGTCATTGACAATCTTCCGGGCTTTCCTCATACACCGCCTGGTGTAGATCTCCTGGAGGGAGGGAAGCTCACCTCCTACAATATGGCTGGCAGTTCGCACAACCCTCTGCAGAGCTTTGCGATTGAGGAGATGTACAGTTGTGACACTGCCACATTAGTTAAGATATCATTACTTAGACTAATTCAAGAGTTTAAGTATTTAATTGATTACATATAGGTCTATGGGTTTCATATAATATTGGAGGTATATGTACTTATGTATATGTATTTATCCTGTTTATTTCCACTGAGTGTAATTGTATGGGTGTTTTGTATAATGATACTGGGCGGCTGATACGCCTGTTACCTTCGATTACCGCGCTCCCAAATTTCTATATAGGGGCGGTCTGAAGGAGAGGGAAAGGGGTATGCGACCGGAAATGGCGCCCGTATAGAGTGCATCATGCGACTCATGATAATAAACTGTTTTCTTTTGGATAGTAAATGAAAAGGAAGGTCCGACTGGAAAATGAACTGAATATGAATCTAAACATTGTTTGTAGTGGGTGAGGAGTCGAGCGCGTTACCATATTGAGGACGCGTCAAATGAACTTTCCCAGACAGCTGGCTGGATTTCATTCATCGGAGTTTGTTGAGACTCTTTTTTTTCTGTGGATTAATCTTCGTTGCTACGTCATGGGAACATTTACCGGCATCGGCCTTTGGATTATATACTCTCTCGCGATCGTCATGGGAAAGGACAAAAGAACTGTCGTTTAGTTTGGACGTCTAGGTGAATTTCGGGACTAACAGAAAGGACATTGATCTATTGCGGGTTTGGGTGAGTCATTTAATGTGTGAAAATATAAAGCACGATACTGTGAGCATATCTGGTTGATGTGTTTGATGCCTGTTTGATTTTTGTGTTTGTATTATGCTGGTAAACCAAGGAGGGGTTATAGTTGGGTATTACTAATTTGGTCAATCTTTCAGAAGAATCCCTTTGCGTTTTAGTAACACAGCCTAAGATAAAAGGTTGATTGTTACAGATGGTGGTAGATTATGGGGAATCAGGTGCTGGTGATGACGTGCCACATCTTCCTGCATGTGTTAAAGAATGGAGTCTTGCCACTATCAAAAATCAACCTGCTGGTTTTTGACGAATGCCACCTTGCAATCACGAACCATCCTTATCAGGAAATAATGAAGATTTGTGAGGGTTGCCCAGGCTGTCCTCGCATTTTGGGTCTGACTGCTTCCATTTTAAATGGCAAATGTGACCCTTGTGATCTGGAGGAGAAGATTCAGAACCTGGAGAAGATTTTGCAGAGCAATGCAGAGACTGCCACCGATCTTGTGGTGCTGGATAGGTATGCGTCCCAGCCTCGTGAGGTGGTGCTGGACTGTGGGCTGTACCAGGATCAGAGTGGGCTCTCTAAGAGGCTTTTGAGCGAGTTGGATGAAGCCCTTCATTTTCTTAATGACTGCAACTTATTCACTCATCGAGAAGATAGAGACCCCACCTTCATCTCCAAACAGGTGCTGAATGACTGTCGTGCTGTGTTGACTGTGCTGGGCCCTTGGTGCGCAGATAAAGCTGCGGGAATCATGGTCCGGGAGCTTCAGAAATATATCAAACATGAACAGGAAGACCTGAACCGCAAGTTCCTGTTGTTCACGGACACCATTCTGAGAAAAATCCACGCCTTATGTGAGGAGCATTTCTCTCCAGCTTCCCTAGACATGAAGTTTGTCACTCCCAAAGTCATCAGACTTCTGGAGATTCTCCACGAGTACAAACCTTTTGAACGGCAGCAGTTTGAGAGTGTGGAGTGGTACAACAATCGCAATCAGGACAATTACGTTTCTTGGAGCGATTCTGAGGACGAAGACGAGGATGAAGAGGCGGAGGCAAAGGAGAAGCCCGAAGCAAATTTTCCCTCGCCTTTCACCAACATCCTCTGTGGAATCATCTTTGTGGAAAGGCGATATACAGCGGTTGTTTTAAACAGACTTATTAAGGAAGCAGGGAAGCAGGACCCAGAGCTGGCGTACATTAGTAGCAACTTCATCACAGGTCACAGCATCGGCAAGAACCAGCCTCGCAACAAACAAATGGAGGTGGAGTTCAGAAAACAAGAGGAGGTCCTGAGGAAGTTCAGAGCCCATGAAACCAACTTGCTCATTGCAACCAGCATTGTGGAAGAAGGTGTTGATATTCCAAAGTGCAATTTGGTGGTTCGGTTTGACCTGCCGACAGAGTACCGGTCG